TTTGAGGTGCTGAGTGTTACGACTTCAGTGCATCTTTTGGGATCACTAATTCCACATATATTACAGGAAACACATACAGCAAATAGTATAAAGTAAAGGTGATATTTTCTTGTATCTCTACACCTCAATTTCATTTTAAATGAAAGTATCTAAAATCTTATGCATATACTTATATATTATCTGTGTTGTTTTCACCTTTAGACACTGCCAACATCCTGCTCAGTTCTTATAGATGAGACTATTGTTCATTTATCTCTTCTTCCTTATATTCATATATTTTAACCCTCAAGTTTAGAAGATGGTAAAACATATATGAATACAGAAAATAATATAATAAATCCAGTATGCTCATCAATGGTACCATTTATCAACTAGTGACAATTCTGTTTTATCTCTTCCAATTATTTTGATTTTGTTTATATCTTCAAACACCACTTATAAACCTTGATCACTGGAGAGCACAATCATGTACTTTTTCCTTTTTGTGTTTGTTTGTTTGAGCAGAGGCCTCATACTATAGCACAAATGTGTCTGGAATTGCAGCAGCTCTCTACCTCAACCTCCTGAGTGCTGGATACAGCCATGAAGTGCCACATTTGGCTTTACTTTCTCTTTTCTTTTCTTTGGAGGCTATTGACATACACTCTTTTGTAGCCTAACTCTGAACTCCTGATCCTCCTGCCTCCACGTCCCAAGGGCTGATATTTACCAGTATGTGTCAGGATACTTGGCTTCTACTTTCTTCTTTCTAATGAGGCTATTAATGTTCATGTACTTCCCTCCACCTACCTTCCTCCTTTTCTCAACCCAAATTTCTGTCAATTGTTGCTGCAGGTTGGGATGCCAGGGAAGCAGCCTCTAAAATAGAAATCAAGGTGGGGCAGGAAGTTTCTTAGGAAGTGCTCCTAGGAGCAACATCAATGGAAGGGAAGGGGAAGAGGTGAGGCTGGAAAGAGATCAGGATTAGACAGAAATCTAGGCTGTAATGATTTCTTAAATGCTCCAGCCAGCTCTATTAGAAGTTCTGAAGCTGGATGGACTTTCACAGATGTTTCTAGTTAGGGTGTGGTGCTGGGCATTTATAGGTTCAAGTTGAAACATGGAATGTGGGCTTCCTGAGAACAGGCATGCTGTTCCAACCAATGCAATATCTGAGAAGAGCTAACAGAAAACAACAGCTCTCCAGCTACTAGGGAAATATATTTTTTGATATGGAAGGGAGACCTGAATAGTGTATCTGAGCACTGTCATAGTTGAATTTTTCAATGCTCCTTAACTAGAATTAAATCTACTGGGATTTGTTACAGACTGGCAGAGTTGAAAGTCAAACTGCTTGCAGTATTATGACTATGGTAATGGTGTTCATTACAATATAATGCAGAGATAGACTTCTTTTCCCATTTGTTATATTGTTATGAACCCCATGCTGCTCAATTTATAAAATGGTCAGCTAGACCATCTTCCTTTACTTTTTGTCTAAATGTTCCCATGTTCTAGTTTGCTCTATAGCAAACCATAACTTTATTTAGACTTTCTATTTTCTCATTGCACTTTTTGTAGTCCTAACAGCATTTAGCTTCTTACTATATTTCCTAGAATCCAGCTCATTTTTGTTATTGAAATTTATTTTCTTCTTTGTTCCAGATAGAACTAGCTGCTTAATATTTGGACCAATATATTGTTTTGTTTAGGCAGTCTGTGTATTTCCACATACATTTAGTAATTTCTCACCTATACTATTAAAGGAAGTCATCTTATTTCCTGGAGGTCTTCCTCCCAGAGTCTCTACGTTTTGCTTCAATTCTGATTGGTTACACTCTAGGTTATCTGCATAGCTGCTATACTCAAGAATGATTTTGGATATCTATGTGTTTATCATTATGACTTGTCTGATTGATGTTGGTGCTGATGGCTGAGTACATCCTCATCCTTGTACTAATACAGGGTTATTAGTAGGTAAGGTTTTTTATTGTATTTTTTCTGTTAGAAAAAGTCTATTCTGTTAGTAACTTGGGTTTTTGTCATATTTGTTTGACACCTTGGCCTGGAACTCACTGTGTAGACCAAGTTTTCATGGAACTCACAGAGATCCACTTCCCTCTGCCTTCAAAGTGTTGGAATTAGAGGTGTGTGTCACCACAGCTGGCAGGATGCTTTTTAGTCTCTGATGTTCTGAGCTTTCTTAAGCTCTACATATGCTTGAGTATATTTCAGTCATTATTCTGGACACCCAGTAAACTATTTCTGAATTTAAGATTTAAACTATTTCTGATTTAAGTTGAATCTAAGATTTTCTTTCTAATATGTCTACGATAATTTCCACCCTCTATTTTCTCTATTTCATTTTTATAACTTAATGAAATATTGGTCTACATCATTCCTCAATCTTATATTTTGTTTCCTATTTCCTATCTCTTATTTTGCTTATTTTAATGAGGCATAATTTACATACGGTAGTGTGTATGTATAGGGTATACTTTTTGCATAAGTTCTCACTCCTGTGACCACTACTCAGATCATGTATTAGAACATTTACAGCCCTTCTGGAGATGTCCTTTATGATTTACTATTATTATTATTATTATTATTATTATTATTATTGTCTTTTTTGAAAACTTCATACATGCATACAACAAAACACAATCTATATATGTGGTGTTTCTAATACAGATTGCAGTTATGCCTGAATAAAGAAACAGCCTAACTTTCAGCATTCATTTTACAACCAAGAGTTTACCTGAATTCTGAGAACCTGTTCCTTCACAATCTTGGAACTGTACTCTAAGCCAGGGCCTTGCCCATTCTTTTATTGAAATGGTATCTCCAGCATGAAATGGGGAAGTAGAAGTCAGGACTCACCCTTATGTTATCAAAGAAACTTTTCATTCTATCCCTAGGCCTAGAATATCACACACATAAGTGTATACACACACACACACACACACACACACACACACACACACACCAACAAACAGATTCTCTCAATTTTTGCAGTGAAAAAAGCTTGGTGCTTTCTAAGCATGTATATGCAAAGCATGAACACCCAGATTCATTCACCATCTTGGGTGGATGGTAAGGAGGGGAGCACATGACTCAGTAAGCTTTGTTTACATTGTAAAACAGTAACTTTTTGGCTGCAAGGTTAGGTATTTATTCCAGATTATGTCTATATTGTAAAGTCATTTCTATATATATCTACCCCCATTACTCCCTCCAACTCCTCCCATATTCCCACTCAACATGTCCCTGCCCAATCTCATGTATAATATGACCAAAATACTGATACAGATAGGGGAGGGGGTCTAAATATGATCAAAATATACTATATGAAACTTGAAAAAATTCAATAAAAAATTCAAAAAATATTGAAAAAGAGTGAGCTTGCTTTTTAATGTTTTGAGAGTGAGGGAGAGGGAAAGAGAGACCCAGAGAATATGTGTGTGAGGTATATATGTGCCATATATACACATATATATGTATGTATATACACACTATATATTTGTGTGTGTGTGTGTGTGTGTGTGTGTGTGTGTGTGTGTGAGCGGGTGCCTGTGCTCAGAGGCCAGAAGAGGGTGTTAACTGTCCTCCTTTGTCACTCCCCACACTGTTCGTTTAAGGCAGAGTATCTCACTAAACCTGAAGCTCTATTTTTTTTTCAGCTAGGCTGGTAGCCAGTACCCCCATTGATCCTCCTGTCTTCGTCTCCCCTCCAGTCTCCTCAGTTTTAACTAAAAACTTGGAATGTAAGTAGCATAGAGAACATAGTTTTGCTAAGAGAAGTAAACAAACTACTGCTTATAGTTTACTATGTTGTCTGGAGTGTAGGAAGCCAGGATATCAGTATTTGTGCATTTACTAATGCAAAAAATATCAGTATGTTTGACACTGTGTTGGGTTGTCTTACTGGTGGGGAATTAGGGGTGAATCAAAGATAGAGGGACCAGTTTTCTAAAGCTCTCAGTTTGTTAGAGAGGGCATGATTCCTTCTTAGTCTTCAGTCCAAACCGAGGAGGGATTAATTGTTGGCACAGGAGTTGGACCCTGACTATGCCTATCTCCTCTTCTCTCTCCCCAGCTCCCTTTCTAGCTCCATTTACTTTCACTATCAAGTATTAGCTCCACAATTGCAGATGCATCGATTTGAAACACTCTTTTAAAAAAAATTTATTTATTATTTTTATTTTTTTATGTGTATGAGTGTTATGCCTGCATGTATGTAAATGCACCCGTGTCGTGCAGTGCCTGCGGAGGACAGAAGAGGCTGTCAGATCCCCTGGAACTGGAGTTATGGACAGTTGTTATCTGCCTTGTGGGTGCTGGGATTTGAACCTGGGTCTTCTGCAAGAACCAGTGTTCTTAACCGCTGAGCCATCTCTCCAGCCCAGAATACTCTTTTTTTGCAAACGTCGTCCGGTTTGGGCCTTTCCTTCACAGTTTTGTTTAATTAAACATCACTTTATCAGTGAGCCTTCACTATGCACCTCATAGAAAATTACAAGGCCCTCCTACCCCAGCTTTATTTTGTCCAGACAGGGTATGTCCAGGCACCTGCTACATGTTTGTTTTAAGCTGAGTCAGGGCAGGGACTGAGAATCTCAGACCTGCGAATAGTGCGTGGTATACGTTATGTGTAGTGTTTAGTGTTTGTTGAAGCAATGAATAGGGAACGGGGTCCTTTAGGATAGAGGATGGAAATTCTTAAAGGGCCTCTTTGGAGAATGGGAGGCCAGGAAAAGTGTAATGTTTATAGAAGGGCGGGGATTCCAGGTAGAAGGCAGAGAACAAGCAAAGGAAAAGAGGCAGGAAACTAAAGAGCAAAACCTGTGAAACACATGATTCCTGTCATCTCTGTCTAGTGGAGGAGGGGTCCGGGTAGATGAGTGGGAAAGACAGCAACCACAGCTCTGCAATTTGGCTGTAGCCGGGTCCTTAGTGACAGGATCACGTGAAGGGACCTTATTCGCTAGCAGGCCAGTCTCCGAGAGGGCGGGGCGGGGAGAGATGCGCATGCGCATTCGCGCTTGGGCTGCGCCCGGGCCTCTGGGCCCGCGGCGGCAGCATCGCAAGTTCTTCTCCTGTTCAGACTGCAGGCTGTGGTTGTGGCGGCGTCAAAGCAGAAATGCCGCGGCCCCCGCCGCCTGCTTGGCACCTCCTTGGGTTTAGCCTGTTCCTGGCCTCGGTATGCGTCTCCCTGGAATCCGCAGCGCAAGGCAACTCTGCCGCAGGTGCCGCCGTGCTCTCCCACCCCCACTCTTCTTCCCTTCTTCCTTGCCCAGATCCAGCCTTGCCTCTCTCTGCCCTTCCTACTGTTCCTTCCATTCACCTTCCTTCCCCGCTCTTCCTCCGTTCTTTTCACCGCATTTTCACTCCTACTTCCCCTCTATCCATCCTTCTTTTCCTTCATTAAGCCTCCATCCATCTTCCCCCTTCCATCCTCCTCCATACCATTCTCCCTCTTTTCTGTCCCTTCATTCTTTCCTCCATCCATCCATCTCTTTGCATTAATTCTTTAAGCATTTCACACACGTATACAATGTATTTTGATCATATTCACTCCTCCCCCTAACTCCTCCCAGTTCCAACCGCTTACCCCTCCCAACTTTATTTCCTCTTATTTTTATAATTCAGAATCCTCTTGTGCTGCTCATATATACATGGGTGGTGGGGCTATCCACTGAAGCACATTCCCTCTCTCTTAACAATCCGTCCTCTTCATTCCTTCTCCCCTTCAATCTATCCGTTTTCCTTCCCTTCCTCTCTCTTTCCTTTCATTTGTCCCTCCGTCCCTCCTCCTATTCATCCATCGTCTATCCAACTCTCTTTCCTTCTCTTCATCTGTCTTCTCTATTCCTAAATTATTTCCTTCCCTCCATATTTTCCACCCTCCTTTCTCCACCTAGGTGTGAGGCCATGGCCAGTGCCTAACACTCTAACTTGGACTTAGGCTTTGTCTTTGCACCCCACTCCCACTCTTACTAAAGCAGAGACCTGGCTGCTCCTTTTCTAGATAGACTGTGAAGGAGCAGGGCCAGTCTTGAACCTCTCAGTACCCTAGGGAGGGGAGATTTCAGTGTCAGTGCATGAGATATAACCAAAGCCCCTCCCTCCTCTGCAGATGCTCTGAATGTCCTCCTAATCATCGTGGATGACCTGCGTCCCTCCCTGGGCTGCTATGGAGATAAGCTGGTGAGGTCTCCAAACATTGACCAGCTGGCATCCCATAGCATACTCTTCCAGAATGCCTTTGCCCAGGTATGTCCAGGGATCTTTAGGCATGGGGGTGTGCCTCCTTGTGCACACACAGTTGGGGAGCCCTTCAGCTGCTACTGATGATTGCTGCCCTAGAGACCTCCTTGGAAGACAGAAGCATAGTTTGGTAAACAGTGGAGTAGGCAAGCTTGTTCTCCACTCACAAGGCAGCTTGTACCTGTAAGGCTTCCCTTCATCCTTGGGTGGAGTTTGTACCCTGCCCCTGGCATACTCAGGACAAACAGGCTTGGCCAGCTTTCTTCCAGAAACAGGGACTACCTTGAGCTGCAAAATCCAACCTGTGGGTCTCCAGACTGAGCTGTATGCATGACCAAGAGCTAGCCAGCTATCCATGGCAGACCTCCTCCTTGAGCCCCCTTTCAGGGCTGCTCCCCAAGAGCATCACCCCTTCTGGGTACCTAGAGACACTATTACATAGGAAGGTAAAAACACCCGCTGTTTTGAGAGTCTGTTTGCTGCTTTCCTTTGCTGGGAGAACACAAGCTCTAGCACCTGGGCGAGGCCCAAATCCCACTCCTTGGCTTTGAGATCTGCATGACTCAGCTGCTAGGCAGTTGCTGAGGATCTAGGGAGGTTGCTTGGTTACCTTCAAGACTGCAGACAAATTTCACTGTAATGACGTTGACCTCTGCTTCTCCCTACAGCAAGCAGTGTGTGCACCAAGTAGGGTGTCCTTCCTCACTGGGAGGAGGCCTGACACCACCCGCCTGTATGACTTCAACTCCTACTGGAGGGTGCATGCAGGGAACTTCTCCACCATCCCTCAGCACTTCAAGGAGAATGGCTACATGACCATGTCAGTGGGGAAAGTCTTTCACCCTGGTACGGTTATATTCCCAAACCCAGGGCTCTCTGTTTCTGTGCCTGAGTACTGCAATCCCTTTCTGGGTTGGGCTATCTTTGCAGGTTTT